ATAGAAGAGAGTTATAAGTGCATGCAATCTGTAATGTACAAGTCTGTTAGCATAGATTACATGTATGTGATGTTACATTTATAAGGAAAGAGGAAGATCAAAAGAGCTACTGTGTACATGTATTAATATCCAGTGGGACCTCCATTATTGCATTCAATCACTTTCGATATTACTTTACGTAAGTGTCCGATATATTTACTACACTTTCTTCTATTTACAGTTTCCCAAAAATCCAAGATTCCTTTGACTAATTCCTCCTTTCGTTGTGGTTTCACTACTCTTCTGACATATTCTTTGTCCTCGTGCCATAGATTTTCAATCGGATTAAGATCTGGGGATTCAGGTGGTGTTTTCCACCAGTTTATTTTGTTGGCTTCTGACCACTCCTTTACTTTCTTTGAGGAATGTTTGGGATCATTATCCTGCATAAATCTTCGAGATGGATTTAAATGCTGGGTATAAGGAATCAGTCCATTTTCCAAAACTTCAATAAAGCCAGCTGAATTCATTTTTTCTTCAAACAGCACAATTGGCGTCTTTCCTTGTCAACTTTTACCTGCCCATGCATGTACCTTATAGGGGTGTTATAATAGGTTTTTAAAAAATACCATTTATGTACATGTAATATTAATTTAGTGCTACCTTGGTTTTGGTTTCGGGGGGCACCTATTTTCCTTCATGAAAATCTCCTGTGGGATTCTAATTGAATTGTACACTCGTCACTGTACAGTACATCAGAAAAACCAGTAGTCCTGTGCTCCTGCAAGTGATATGAGCCAAATTCATTCGCTTCTTATTATTTGGTCCTCTCATGATCTGGCAGTATGCACTCCCACGGTATGTCCAACCAAGTGTATTGCGAGACTTCAATATTGTTTCCAGTGACAGTGAATGACCTTTCTCAACAAGAAGCTTCTGAAGTTGAGTAGCAGTGCTTTAATCATCAGCTTGCATTTGGTCCTCTACTATCTTTAAAACTTCTCTGGTTACTTTTGAAGGTCTTCCAGATCCTATATTGTGAAAAGAAAGAGAAGTGTAGTGGAATTAATACTGACAAACCTGGCCTTCTAGTAATTGAACCAGTTTCCATGTATTTCTTAATCAGTTTGCTCACACCTGAGACTTTGACATCCAGTGCTACAGTAAAATTAGTGGTGAATACTTACTCAAAAAAACTTACAAAAGGAATGTAAAATCCTGTTTGTAAGTGCTGTACACCATTGTCACTAGTCCACCAGATAAATGTGCGTGTTTTTGCAATTTGAAAGTAGATCTTTTGTCAATGGCAATACCAAGACATATATGTACATGTAATATGTAGTTTTGTATGTTGTGTTAATACTACATTACATTTTTCAAAATGATAACACGTACAGTAATTCTTCTGAAGACATGACACTAATTTAATATTAATAGGCCATAAATTGGGTTTGTTTTTACACTTTTCTCTCCTCTCTCTTACTCTCATTACAGATGCAGTGATAGCCGTTATAGTTGATGGTACATTAAAGGTATGGTTGATTCACACTATGATTGAGATAAAGGAGTTGACTGATCTATTGAGGTCTTCCAGTCCATTCTCATTGACTTCAGAGTCAATTGCGGACTTCTCACTAGCTCTTGTTTTTCACAGAGACTCGTAGCAGGTAATGATGATATATTGTGTAGCTACATGTAACATGTACATCGTACATAGTAGATGCATGTAGTTTGGAATAGATAATTTGGGCAAATTGCTTTTTAAAAATTAAGGTTCGGAAATTAATAATTTTTTACAAATGTTCTACCATGCCAACATCTTAAGTTAAGGTTTTGGTTTATAGGAATAATTTGTTAAAATTTTATTTGCCTAAATTTACTACTTGCTACCGGGCTTGGGGTGAAGTACATGTACTCTAAGAAGTATTTAAGTACATTACAAGTACCTGTTAAAATTTTAAAATGAGTACAAGTACAAGTCCCTCATTTTTCCAAATTGTATTAAGTATGAGTACAAGTACTCTATTGTAGTACTATTTAAGCATTTGACCACACTCAAATAATTATTTAAGCCTGCTTGATACCTATGTACATGTACATGTGCATACAGGATGTGTAGTTCTTCATTTCAAACGACGGTATGTAGTTTTACTACTTTTGTTTTTTGAATTCCTGAAATTTGCATTTACATGATGTAAAATGTACATGTACATGTATACAGTTTGTCCTTTTCTGATCATTAATTAATTTTTCATCTTTAATTGATACAATTGTATAACATACAATGTGTACATGTAGATATACATGTATGATCCTAGTGTAATTTATCCTTGTGAGCCAGGAGTAACTGAATGGATTAATGTCTACAACCTAAAATGGTAAAGTCATTTATTGATATTTACGTTAAAGTACTAGTACTAGCAACTTAATTTGAACACTTTTAGGTGCGTCTTGTAGTGACGGACCAGTTCCTGCTCTTTGTTAGACGGGACAGGGTCACCACTCCCTTGTATATCGGGATTTGTGTATTTTAATGGTATTTATGGATATTTATGGTAAAGTACAAGTATTACCAACTTAATTTGAACACTTTTAGGTGCGTCTTGTAGTGATGGACCAGTTCCTGCTGTTTGTTGGATGGGGCGGAGTCGCCACTCCCTTGTATATCGGGATTTGTGTATTTAAAAGTCATTGATTGATATTTACAGTAAAGTACAAGTACTAACAACTTAATTTGAACTTTTTTAGGTACGTCTTGTAGTCACGGACCAGTTCCTGCTCTTTACTGGATGGGCGGGGTCACTACTCCCTTGTATATCGGGATTTGTGTATTTTAAAGGGATTAATGGATATTAAAGGTAAAGTACAAGTACTACCAACTAAATTTCAACACTTTTAGGTGCATTTTATAGTGACAAACCAGTTCCTGCTCTTTATTGGATGGGGTGGGGTCACCACTCCCTTGTATATTGGGATTTGTGTATTCTAAAGTCATTTATTGATATTTACGGTAAAGTACAAGTACTATCAACTTAAGAAGTAGAAAGATCACAGAAAATGAAAGCAGTTCTCAAATGGAATGTAACACAAACTTGCAGCTAATTGTTGTTAATGGAAAGTTTAATTAAAATGTTCTGTTTCACTATATTAGATTTTTTTTGTGCTATATGATTTTTAGCATTGCTCTTCTAGTGTTAGAGAAAGTTAGTTGATGTCATGTACATGTAGCTATAATTTTTTGACTGTTTTATCATAGATTGGCTAGAGGCAAGGACAACCTCAGCCTGGCATGTGTTAATCATTTGATTGTTGACTGTTGAGTTGGGGGACTACTGTTTGTTATCCATTGTACCTGTAGAATGGACACAATGCAGTATCAGTAAGCCTTTTCTAATACATGTACATATAATACTGTATGGCTGGTAATTTTTGTGGGTACTATATTCCGCGAAATCTACTAAAAATCCAATTTGCGGATTTTAATTTTGTGCCACGTGTACCATGCAGGTACCGTATTAAATTAATTTTCATGAATTAATAAGGAATCCGCAAAATCCATGAACTTTGCAATCCCAGCTATACGGTAATGTCTGTCTTTAAATTATGAAGGAAATAAAAAGTTGTACGACTTGTGCTGCTTTCAAATTTTTCCCATGCACTGTTTATCAATTATGCATTGAACTTCAAATATTTTTAAAATATTTGTGCATAACTTTTGATTCTTTAGGAACTTACTTGTTCTAGTAATTAGGTAATTTTATCTCCCTTCTCTCAGTCCAGATTTGGTTGCAATGGAAGTTGATGTTCTCGTTTGCCTGGTGTATGGCAGCTTAAGTGAAGCATGGATTTCAACAAATAAGCGAGTGGGAAACTTGCCATTATTGATTCTACCAGATAGCACTGCTATTTTTCCATTACTAAATGCAGTTTTGTTTCTATTGATAATTCTATTCATAATTAATGTTTTGCTATGAATATAATATTGCATTAATGAATATTAATACAGTCTCCATGAATATGATTACTTTGTTATGAATTAAAGTTTATGATAATTTAGTCTCACATGATTAAGTGAGAAACAGGAAGGGAATACGCCAACTTCGCACACGGTGAATTGTGTTCTGAAAGAGTGAAGATATAGATTTCAAAAAGCATCTGTTGAACCTAAATTATGACTAAAATTATTATTATACGCATATAAAATAATATCTTATGTTTGATGTAATAAACAATAGTCTCTAGAGCTTTTGTTTTATCCCCTTTTGACTTCATCACAAAATAAATGTGTGATTTGACCTACTTGGTGGTAGAAGTATTCATCAGGAGCTCGTCCAACTGAGAACTTAGCTCTAAATCAAGTGAAAGTCCTCATTGTCAATGGCCATGCTTATTCACGTGTGTAGATTATTCTTATTATGCTCTATGAGTCATATCCGGTGTCAAGAGCTAGCATGGCACATCAATATCACTTACTATACTGTTTCTTATCCATGTGTGTAGTATCTATAATACAGTTAATTTAAGTAGGTGCGGCTGTAAGACTGTTGACTGTTCACTTTCACTGTGTATCGCTGTTTTATCCAAGTTACTTTTGTTGGACCTTGTTTAATAATTGAGGTAAAATTGATTGTTTCTAACAAAGATGAATGATGTACCTATAGAAGATGCCTAAGACACGAGCTAAGACAAAAAAAGTTGACAGGAGGACCCTAAGAAAAGAAAGATTTCATCATTTGGGAAAGAAAAGTTGGGAAAAGGTATGATTTCATGTAACTCTGTGTTAGTTAAGCATAGCTAGTGGATGGGAATGGTCTATAGAAGAGTTGCAGGGGAAGTACATGTAATTAAGGAGAGCAGTACCCTTGCCTATACGCCTATGGCGTGGGTGAGGGCAATAACGAGAGTTGTGGCTCATTGTCAATTATCTTTAGTGGAATTCAAGGAAAAGCCCTGTTATGAGATGAAGTAGTACTATTAATAGCAAGCCAAACAGCTATTTTACTTATTGCATGAATCCTGCATGAATAGACTTTTTTGTAACTTGTGGCATCACTTCACTTGTTGCTACAGCTAAGTATTTGGTTGTTTTATACTTGTATATCTATGATAAAATAATTGCCATCAGCTGTTTTGCAAATGTTTTTGAAGCTTTTGTGTAACTTGGGGTATGTCTGTTTTTTTACGATCCGTAGAGTATGTCATTAAATTTAAAAACCATGATTATAGAGGGAGAAAATAGTGTTCAAATGCACTATTTCCTTCCTACATAATTGTGTCACTAGGCACTATTATACACATACAATTTGACCTATCTATGTAGGCAGAAATTAGTACCAAGCACTATTTTGTCCCTACAATACTATTTGAAAGAATTAGTGCCTGCTGCACTATATTTTGTTCCTACAATACTTAAGGGAAGAATTAATGCTTGCTGCACTATTTTGTCCCTATATTACTATGGGGAAGAATTAGTACCCTCTGTACTTTTTTCATAATGTAACAGCACTTTGTTTCCCTCATATACTTTAGCGGAAAATTTTGGAGTGAATTGAAGTTGGTGAACTTGGCATTTTGATAGCAAAACTCCAAATTAAAATCCATCATATCAAGCCATTATATGCATGCTCAATGGTATGTGACCACAAATTTGCCAAATTAAACTTTGCCAATTACCAAAATATAGCAGTTTGCCTAATTTAACTCCCTCCAAAATTTCCTGCTATATGGGATTGCTACGCATCATTTATCTGGTCACCTTTAGCATTCCACCATGCATTTTGCAAGTACAATTAGCTACATAGACCAATACAATAACTTTGAACATTAAATAACATCTATAGAGTACATTTGTTAACTTGTTTGTAATAATCAATGTAGTTGAGTAACATATTCTGATACATTGCATCTTGATTTTCATGTCATAGATGGCAATGGCATGTAAAATATGTTTTTAAGACATTCAATCATGTGTTGTCTCATGTGTGACTGATCGAATATATTGTTAACAGGATCATCTCCATAAAGAATAGATACTGTGTATGCTACTGCAAAGCAGGCACAATCCTTATCACCTTTTGCTTCACCAACCACGGTACTTTTACCATAGCAGATCCATAGAGGGCAATGAGCTGCTTCTTTAACTCTGAGTGAGTGATCTCTGTTTACAAGGAGTCATAAAGAAAAGCAATGCCATCCCTAAAATGACTAGTAACCCAATGGTCTCCAAAGTTGTGGAAAAATAATGAATCATTTGTAGCCAGCTGATTGAGACTTAGTTTTTGAGTATACAAACACGACTGAATCATTGGCAT